ATTGCCTTTATGACAAAGTCTCTGGGGTTAAATAGCATCACTTCTACTGTAGCTCATCAATTAAGGCGGTCACAAAGGCCTGCCCTGGTTCAAGAGAGGGGCAAGAGTATGTGGGACCAGAATCATCGTTGTGGCTGTTTCTAGAAAATACAACCTCCTACATTGGCTTTGTCACACACTAAATTCCTAAGCAGATTTCGATCTATTTCGGGTTTTGTTCGTTTAATCTGTCTGTTGCTATATACGCGTACCATAGTGTTTTAACTGTTGAGACTTTATAATATGGTCTGATACCTGGTAGAGCTCTTCTCCCCTCATTACTCCTCTCTTCCAGAGATCTCTTGGATATTTTTGCTTGTTTTTATTCTTTTTTTGTACTACTAATTTTAAAATTAGCTTGTCTGATTAAGAAGCTGTTGGTACTTTTATTGTGATAACATTGAACTTATAAAGTAATTTAAGGAACACGGACACTGCTTTAATGACGGAACTTCCCATCCAAAATCATGGTATACCTTTGTTCAAGTATTTGAAATGTATAATAAATACATTTGTTCAAGGTTGTGTGTGTGTGTCCTTCAATAGTGATTTCAAGTTTTCTTCGTGTAGGTCTTACACATCTTTTGTTAAATGTATTCCTAGGCATTTATTTGATATTGATTTTGTTATTGGAGGTGGACATTTTTCTTTCATTATATCTTCCACTTGCCGGTTGTTTGAATATAGGAAAGCTATTGGTTGATGCATGCTAATTTTGTATCTTGACACCTTACCGAATTATCCTGGGTTTCCTACCTCCGGAATCGTTACATACGCATAATACCTGCAAATTTACCTTCATCCATTCAGTTTTTATGTCTTTCTATCCCTTATGCCATCTAATTTGGCACTAACAAGTATTATCTTCAATATCCACTTCTGTGTTAAATTATAGTAGTGAAAATAGACATTTTTTTGTCTTGGTCCTTTGGTGGACATGCCCCTAGGTTTTCTCCAATAAGCATGATGTACTCAGATGTATTTTATTATGTGAAAGAGGCAATATCTATTTCTAGTTTACAGAGTACCCATGCATTTTTTTCTTTGTTCTTTTTCTTTTTTTTTCCCATGTAGTCTTATTTATTGGATGCACGTGTGTGTGTTTTCATCAAGAATGGATGTTGGAACTTTCTCAAATGTCTTTTTAGCGCCTAAAAAGAATCATGGCTTTTCTCCTCAGATGTATTCATATCATAAATTACATTAACAGATTTCCCAATACTGAAACTTTGCATTCCTAGATTAAAAACCACTTGGTCATGATGTATTCTTTTTTTTTTTTTTTTTTTTTTTTTTTTTTCGATTTTATTGTTGAGTGATCTGTACAGAGTGGGGCTTGAACTCACAATCCCAAATCAAGAGTTGCGCACTCCCCTGACTAAGCCAGCCAGGCACCCCAAGATGTATTACTTTTTATGATTTACTTTTTATAATTTTTAATAATTTATATGTTGAAATACATAATATTTTTATATATTTATAATGTTATAATTTTTATAATTACATTTATTGTGCTTCTGTTTGCTAACATGTTATTTAGAATTTTTGCATGGAAGGTTACAAGTGGAAGTTGTTACTTTCTTCGTGCCTGCCAAAGTTTCAATATCAACCTCACATCTGCTATATAAAAATAATTTCAAAGCTTTCTTTCTTTGTCTATGCTCTGAAATAACTTAAATGCTTTTGGATGGTTAATCTTTTTAAAAAATGTTTTTTCAATGTTTATTTTTGAGAGACAAAGAGTGGGTAGGGAAAAGGCAGAGAAAGAGAGAGAGAGAGAGAGAGAGAGAGCAGGGGAGGGGCAGAGAGAGAGGGAGACAGAGAATCCGAAACAGGCTCCAGGCTCTGAGCTCTCAGCACAGAGCCCTACGCAGGGCTCGAACCCACAAACTGTTGAGTTCGTGACCTGAGCCACCTAGGCACCCCTGGATGCTTTACTCTTTCAAAGTTTCATAGGATTTCCCTGTGAGGCTACCTAAGTTAGTCTTTCTTTTTTTTTTTTTTTTTTTTTTTTTTTTTTTTTTTTTTTTTTTTTTTTTTTTGGTGAGGGAAGTACAGACCTTCTACAACTTTCTCTGTTTCTCCCATGACATTTACCCTCCTCCTGATGCAGCAGCAGCATCTGGGAACTTTATAGAATTGAGGGTTTGGGGCAAAACCCCAGAACCAGAATCTGAATTTTTATAAGATCTTCATATGGTCCGTGTGTTCATGAGAGAAGCATTTCTATGGGAATCGGTCTATTTTTTCCTCTGTTCTGAAGCCAAATATGGTAAATTATATTTTATCGGAGAGTTCTTCTTTTCATTCAGATTTTCCATTTAAATTATAGAGAGGTGAACAAAGTAGACCCTTGTGATCCTTTTAATTTTCTTTTTCTGTGGCTAATTCTCCCCTTGTTTCTTATTATACATACTTAGACTGTCTCCATTTTTTTCTGAGTCATATTAACTAGTGGTTTATCCGTCTTACTTGTTGATGACCCCTCTCTGCCATCATCAAAATAACTAGCTTTGGGGATTTATTTATTAGTCTTCTTTTCTCCCCCCATCCCCCGTGCCCCGCATCCTATTTTCAAAGATTTTTAAAAATTAGTTTCTTAGGATCCTTTTATTTTGCATTTTATTTTATTCTATTCTGTTTTTTAGAGAGAACACACGAGCCAGGGAGAGGGGCAGAGGGAGAGAAAGAGAGAGAATTTTAAGCCCAAGGCAGGGCTCGATGTGGGGCTCACTCGATCTCATGAGCCGAAATCAAGAGTCAGATGCTTAACCGACGGAGCCACCCAGGCACATCCCCCTTTCCTTGTTGCTATCATCTCTGTTCCTTCCTGCATTTTCCACAAGGTCTGTTCTCCTTCATGTTTCTTCCAAGTGTGTCTTACTTTCTGTGATTTTTTTTCCCCCTTCTATTTCTTTCCCGAGCTCTGCTGGTTCATGATCATTACCTTCTGTGGACCATCTTCTTGCTGAGCTCTTCAAGCATTTCTGCTTTATTGTTTTCCTTCATAGAAGTCATTGCTCATTCAAATTTTTTTTTTTTACTCATGCCAAAATTATTTGGATGCAAGTTTCAGCCTGGGTTGACATTTTTCATCTGTTGGTAGACTTTTATGCTCTGTTCTGCAGCATTTTATTACGATGTCTTTGTATCGCAGCTTTAACATTCATTTTGTGAAACTTGCGATGGGAAGGGCTTGATTGTCCCGGGTCACCTACCTGCTAACTGTTCCTGTGGGTGTGGGGAAGAAGGAGGAGAGTCGCCTGGCTTTATGACTGAAAGGTTCTCCCTTTCACCGCCAGAGAGACGGGCTGCTTCCTGCACATGTCTTCTCTCCGTGTCTTTGTTACACTTTGTTTCTCTAAATCCAAGAGGGCTCCTGCTGCCCACACCACTCACCCCAGGTCCTACACTCACTTTGATAAAGAAGGAGAAGCTTTTTACCTCAGGGCGAGTGCTCACCCCCAGGAAGTGCACTTTTGCTGTTTGTTGCTTTCTGAGATCTGCCACCACTGGGCCCGCTCACTGCATCCTGTGTGGCCTCTGCCCTGCTGTCCTTGGAAAATTGTACGCACCCCATGAAGTTTATGGGTTACATCCTTCTCCTGGTTTTGCTAAAAGTGGAGTTTGTGAGGTTGATTTTGTTGTTGTTGTTTTCGGTTTTTGTTTCTTGGGTTTTTGGGTTTTCTTTTTGTTTGTTTTTAGCTCTCCTCGATGCTTTGCTGTAATTTCAAAAAGGCCAAGGGGAAACTCTTGCCATATGCAGTCATTTTTCCTACCCCGTTATCTTAACTGGGTTCTCTTCAGCTACTCTGAGACATAACCAAACAGCTCTGATTGCTGTCCCCGTGTTTCCGCACGAGAAAACAGAGGTGGCCCGGCTCTCAGGGTGCCACAGGGTGGCCAGCGTCGGGAGTCTGCCCTGGGGATTGGATCGACACGGGTGTGTTTTCTCCTTGTCCTCTGGGACAGGCTAGCGCTCAGGCAGGACTGTGAGGAGTGGAGGAGATTGATTGAGGTCTGGTGGCATCATTTTTTCCACTCCAGAGTGCCAAGGCAGCTGGTTGGGAGCCATGGCACTGCCTGTACTCCCGTCCTGGGGAAGTCGAAGGAGGGGAGGCTGCTGGGGCCCCTGTCCCCCAGCACCCACCCCCTCCGGCAGATAGCCGGCACGGCAGGACAAGTCCACACCTGAGCATCATATCCCAGCCTGGGAACAAGCCTGCGAAAGCTGGCACACGGGTAGCTGCCCCCAGCCTCTGGGCGTTTTGCCGACTACATTCCCTGCATAATCCTGGCTGGCCCAGGGAGGATCCTGGAGGACAGCTTCATTGCAGCCGAAAACCTTGTGCGTTAGACAACCTTCAATCTCCTACCCCATGGACATGCCCCCATCATACAGGCAGTCAGCAGCAAGGCCTGGATGTCAGAAAACAGGTCATTTCCTCCATCCCTCTGTGTCGGATCCAGACATGTTTTTCCTACTCCTGTACGAAAATGTCCAAATAGGGGAGGTTGGCCTTCTTTTCTACTTCCTCCAAAATTCTTGACAAAGAGGCTAACGCAGTCCTGCCAAATAAATACTCGGCGAGTGTTACACTTCATCCCTTTTATTAAGCACTTACTGTATGTGTTAGAGACATACTCTTCTCGAGTCCTTCCAACCACCCTGGGAAGGAGACCCTGTCACTACCCCCTGTACAGATGAGAAAAACCAAGTTTCCAAGCATAAACAGGAGCCTATCCTGTGTCCGATACAAGCGACATCTAACCAAATTGACTCAGAAAGGTTCAGAGACAAGGCATACGTTTAGTCTGTTTTTGCTGGTAACGATAGCCTCAGAATGTCCATGATTTACAATAGCACGTCTTCGTTTTTCTTACTCATGGGTCTGGTCAGCTGGCACAGTCCTGCCTCGGGCTTCAGATTGAGTTCAGCTTTGCTCCGTATGTCATGACGAATGGCAGAAACCAAGAAGGTCAAGTGGAAATGCATGATTCCTCTCGAGATCTGTACTCAGAACTGGCACACCATTCTACTGGTAAAAGCCCATCACCCCCTGGAGTCCACCATCATGGTTGGGAGATATTCTCTGCCCTCGGTGAGAGGCACTGCAGGCGTGTGGCAAAGGGTGTGAAGGTCTGATTCCAATATGGGGAAGGGTAAGAATCGGACACCATGGGGGGCGCCCGGGTGGCTCAGTCGGTTGAGCGTCCAACTTCGGCTCAGGTCATGATCTCACAGTCCGTGAGTTTGAGCCCCGTGTTGGGCTCTGTGCTGACAGCTCGGACCCTGGAGCCTGCTTCAGATTCTGTGTCTCCCTTTCTCTCCGCCCCTCCCCCGCTCATGCTCTGTCTCTCTCTGTCTCTCCAAAAGTGAATAAATGTTGACAAAAAATAAATAAATACATAAAACATTGAAGAATTGGACCCCATGGCCTAATCTACAACAGGACAGTTCCAAGGTGGCTAACGAGGTGTATGCCTCGTTGACACTGACTCTCCTCAGGGACTAAGATGGCTGCCACAGCTCACAACCAATCTCCGTCAGTCTCACCCACTCACTCACTGCTGTGTGTTGATGTGCCTTGATACTCTGACCTGGTTGTCCGGGACTGAGGGAGTTCCTGGGACGCGGCGCTTTCAGCACGAAAACCGGGGAAGTCTAGATAAAGCAGGATGAGTTGGGTGACCCTGTGTGTTGCAGCAGATTATTCCTGAACGTTTGGGGGCAACTTGGGGTGACACGGTAGTGTGTGGGAATGTGTGCACAAGTGTTGCTTAGCCCCGCACAGCAAACAAACAAATACTCAGTATTACATGTCTCCAATCGCAATGGTTGCTTGACCGCTCCTAATTCCACGGGGAATTTCACTTGGCAGATTTTCTGTATTGACGGCCAACCTGCCCTCATGTCAGCCTGACTGTCACCTCCTCTCTCTCAGGCTTCCCCCTAAACCTCCATTACTCTTCTTTAACACTACAGGACAATTTAGTTCAATATCTCAACTCCAGAGCTGTTTTGCATGCCCCAAATGGCTTAGCCACTGGCCTCTGTCATAGCCGAACTCCAGGGCCCAAATCAGGTGGCAGATGTGTGTTGTTGACCTACAGGGTGTTTTGAAATAATGTGAGCTATCATTTCTGGCTTCTCTTGAATCTGAGGACCTGGCCACACAGGCACGTTGTTCTTCACGGCCATAGCTGGCTGAACTGAGTAGAGACGGCTTCCTTTGGGATGGGGCAGTGCTCTGGGGTTTCCACTGTCCGCTCCCCACCCCTGCCCTGCATTCAATGGTCATTCATTGACCATACTTGCTGGGAGACTTGAGTTTGCTACCCTCTCTTTAGCAGCATGAGAACAGTAGAAACTTTGCAGCTTTGGTCTCTCCTTCCCCTGCCTCCACCTCTCAACCTGCCCCTGTGTCTGTAAATAGAAGAATGCATTCTTGCACTGATACGATTCATGCCTCTAGAGTGTATATAATCAGCTTAAAAATGTTTTTTTGTTGTTGTTTTTTAGATGACAGGTGTACTTCCTCAACTCAGCAGCCATGGAAATCACCTCTTATGTCTCCTGTGTGGAGCCTAATTGACGGATGGACCATGGATTCATCCTAACAGCTGAGCCAAAGACCACACTTCCCAGGGGCTGCTCCCAGTTAATCACCGAAGGAGGCAGGGATTCCGAGGAAACGTTCCCAGGAGACACAGTGTTCCTCTGGAAGCACAGGGACTTTGGTCAGCCTTCCAGAACTTTCTTAGAATGATACTGCAGTCTACAACCACCCAATTTCCCTCCCTCTCTTCCTTCCTTCCTCCCAGCCTCTTCTGTCTCCCTTCTCACTTTCCCCAATACATCTCTTGGATATTTCATCCCACCTTGGATCTCAGAGGACCCCGACTAATGTCCCTTCCCATCACAGATTTGGATAAATCGAAAGGAAAAGAGAGGGAGGGCAGGTAAACAGCATGAATAAAGGTGTAGAGGTAGGAAAGTCCAGGCTATGTTCACACCACATGGGGAAGTGAGTCTGTCCTACGAAGGCACTAAATCCCCACGCTACAGCCTATCAAAAGAAGTGCTGGGGCGGGGGGGGGGGGGACGGGGGGGGCAGCTGGGTGGCTGAGTTGGTTAAGTGCCCAACTTTGGCTCAGGTCATGATCTCACGGTTTGTGGGTTCGAGCCCTGCATCACACTCTGTGCTGGAAGCTTGGAGCCTAGAGCCTGCTTCAGATTCTGTGTCCCCCCACCTCTCTCTCTGCCCCTCCCCAGCTTGCACTCTGTCTCTGTCTCTCAAAAATGAATAAACATTAAAAAAATTAACAACAGCAAAAAGGAAGTGCTGTGTGACTTTGGGTAACTTACTGAGCCTCTCTGGGCCTTGGTTTCACCATTTGCAAGCTGGGAATACTAACAGTGCCCATTTTATAGGGTCCAGTGGGGATTAGATGGGTTAATATGAAAAAGTATTTTGAATGGGCTAAATCACCAACTAAAGTTAGAGTCATCATTACAAAAACATTTAAAACTGGCCTTCTCTGATGGGGCTGGGTTTTAGCTTTGAAGAAGGCAATACGCATATTTTCCTTTCCAAACACAATTTGTTTATAGTCTTTCGACGCAGACACAAACCAGACTTGGTCCCTGGAAGAGAAAAAGCAGGGTTGTGGGGCGGCAAGGACTGTCCTTTCCAGGCAGAGCTCCCCATTTTCTGGAGTTGGGTCTTGACAAGAGAGCAGAGGTTGGGCGGGGGGCACCTGGGTGGCTCAGTCGGTCGAGCATCTGACTCTTGGTTTCAGCTCAGGTCATGATCTAGGCGGTTTTGTGGGTTCGAGTCCCGCATTGAACTGCAAGTGAGAAGCCTGCTTGGGATTCCCTGTCTCCCCCTCTCTCTGCCCCTCCCCCACTCGTGCTGTCTCTGTCTCACCCAAAATAAATTAAAAAAAAAAGAGAGAGAGAGAGCAGAAGTTGGGCGGATCAGAGAGTTGCCCAGATGTCTTATCTTTACTGGACAGTGGACATCTGGACACAAGACTCGTACGGGAGAATGTGTGGATGCTTGTCCCTGGGTGACAGCCTCTGGGAGAGGCGGAAGGAAGAAGGAATTTCCTGACACTCCATCTGACATGTAGGCTTTACTTTCCTATGAAGATTTGGATGCCAGGGTTGGAACCCTGCTGGTCGACTCCCTGCCATCACCACTACCAGCAACATGCCCATTATACAGATAAAGTAGTTGAGGCTCAGCAAGATGAACCTTGCTTAGGGTCATGTGGCAAGTGAGTGGCCATGCTGGGATCTGAACTTAGCTCTCAAGCCTTGTATGTTCCAACCCTTCCACCATGGCGTGCAGGGGTGGCTTTTGGCGAAGTTTTCCCTCACCTTCAGTCTTGAGGCCATATGAGCCCAGAGCAGGGCCCTGTCAGGCCTCATGAGTCAGGGGACTTTGGAGTTTCCTGCCTGTTCTGCGAGACATCAGAGTTAGGATACTCTATGGATACGATACCCTATTAATAAAGCTAGAAAGCCTGAGGTGTAATAAAAGTGAGAATAATAACGTGAAGTGCCACTTTTGAAAGCTGACTGTGGGCGAGTACCGTGACAGGTGCTTTGGGTGCATTCTTACCTCGCAGGCTCCTCACCACGGCCCTGACCGGAAGGTCCTCTTAACTCGAAATGTTTCTGGCTGCATGTAAGAGAAAAGCTGATTCGTGGTGTCTTCAGCAACACAGACATTTGATCATTTCTTAAACAAGAAGTCTGGAGATCGGTGGTTCCTGGGATGGTTCCCAGCAAAGAGGGAGAGCCCTGGCCGGCTCAGACCAATGGGAAGGAGATGGGGCCACCCCCCTAAACATGTGGGTGATTCCTAAATAAAATCAGGTTCCATTAGCAAGGAGGAGGCCAGGGGCGCCAACACATTCTTCTCTCATTGGTGTGTTCCTTCCCTGGAGGGGAGGGGGAAGAGAGACATGCCATTTGGGAGTGACTCAGATTGGGATGCCACTGGTTTATGCTCCAGCCTGGGATGTGGGGTGGAAAAGCTAACATTTATTGAGCACCTACTGTGTTCCAGGCCCCCTGCTGGGTGATTTCACGCTCCCATCAATTCATTCAGTCCTCACAACAGGCCTGTGAGGAAGGAACTATTCTTCCCATTTTTCAGATGAGAAAACTGAGGCCAAGCCCTGATCACACACACGGTGGGAGGCTAAACGGGAATAAGTCCTGGCAGCAGTTAACTTTCACTACTGCTCACTGTGTATCCAGCACTCTGAGAGGCGTGTCCCCTGGATTAGGTCATTTCTTCAACTCCACTCCACTGATGAGGCACCGTGTCTCAGGGAGGTGGAGCAGACTGCCCAGTTACACAGTTTAGCATTGGCCAGGCTGGGCTGTGAACCCCTCTGACAGAAGGCCGCCCCACAGTGCTCCCCCAAATTTGGAGAAAACCCTCCCGGCCCGTTCGGTGGCCTTTTTGGGATCGTTGGCTTTGTAGGCGGAGAAGCTGGATAAATAAACAAGAGGTTCAGGAAGTGCTTTTTGCCTCTTGAAATTCTGAATCCAGAGGACACAGAAGGTCATCCAGCTGCCATGACAGCCAACATTAAACAGGCAAATAAGTGAATCTCTAACATGATAGCAGGAATGTTAAGTACCATCAAGGAAAACAAACAAACTAAAGCAAGAGAGAATGATGGTGTGAACACTTTAGACCAGGTGGGGAGGGAAGGTTTCTTTGAGGAGGTGACAGTTGAGCAGAGACAGAGGGATGGGGAAGGTGATGGAAGGCACCAGCTACGCAAGTGTCTGAGAGAAGATTGTTTTAGACAGAGGGACTATCGAGTGCAAAGGCCCTGAGGTGGAAGTGATTTTGGCACATTTGGGGAAGGACAAGAGATGGGTGTGGCTGGAGCAGAGTGGGGGGGGGGG